CGTTACAACATTATCGATCATCATTACGAAATGTTGACGGCCCCGATGGTTCCTCTGTTTCACCACCCTGACGATGGTTTCTTAAGTCAGGCATAACTCTTCCTACCCAGGCAAAAATCCGCGCGCTCTCTTCTAGTTGGCTCTATGTGATCTGCGACGATCTGGTCAGCACTTGCTCCTACGGCGCCCTGTGGCCATAATGTAGGCGGCCATGTATAGTTCTCCCTTATGTCAGCCGACAATGCACTGTTGACGATCCTGACGATTTCTTCTGCGTTAACCATCTTGTTGGCGGATTCTGCAATCAGCAAAGTCGTATCATGGTCACATTTCAGATACTTTGTTAATGATCTCGCGACCTCCACAGTCCCCTTATCGTTTTTACCATAAACATACGGATGATCCTCGTGATGGGTTTTCCCTGTCTCACCTCCCTGATTGTTGTTGCCGTAACTGGCTTTATGGTTCTAAGGAGGTGAACTGTAGCCTCCGCTGTTTTGTGATTTATCTCAGGATGAATAGCATTCTGATACCTCGCACGCTTTCATCAGCATAACGGTCCTATCTCACATTCATATATTCCTCCCCATGAGCAATGATGTTTCTCCTTAAAAAACCTCAAAAACTATATAGTTGAACAATTTTATGGAAAATTACTGAGGTTTTTTCCACTGTGTAGCATCAATCTATTCTTGCCCTCCATATGATCTTGGGCGGTAATTTTTTCCTACAGTTTACTTGGAAGTCAGGGTTCACTGAACTCTGCCCCAAATTAATCGTAGAAGATTTTTCACTGCTCCTTTCTTATCTATTTGTTCTGTCAATCAGTATTTTTGAAGAGAATGGACTTGTGGAGGTATCCTGTGGTTAGCTTTTATGGCAAATCAGTACGCCTCCAACTTGATACAGCCTCAGACGTAAGTCTTATCTCCACACACACTTGGTAGATCATTGGATGGCCATCGATGATCGCATCGACTAAAAGGCTAGGAGTGTTTCTGGATGATTTCTCCGGCTCAGAAATAGACTTGAACGTGACGTTTCTCTTCATGGCATTCACTGCAAAGAAAAGTGCTAACACAGCCAGTGTCTGAACCTTAACAAACTTGGCCTCGACTGGATCGAAAACTTCGGTTTCCTGGAATTGCCACTTAACCATATTTGCAACAATTTGCAGTCAACTTGAAGTAGACTCACCAAATCGAATCAGCTGGCCGTCAAGTTTATGTCGACAGGCGAAAACCTCATCAGCCTCACCCCAAGCCTCCAAAGGATTGGACCGAAATAGGAAGAATATGATTCCTTTGGAGGTGAATCAGCGGACCATATCTTACAACACGGTCCAAACGAGTGTTATGGTCTATCCTAACCGACGCGCACGCACGTGGCCCTGATGACTGGCTCCCACGCTCTGCCAGCGGTCCACCCATAGACAGCGCGTATGCTGACCGTCAGACAGCCGAGTCAGTTGGAAAAAAGCCAGTTAAGTCACTCCTCGCTTGAGGACACAATCAGATTGGTGGGACTGAACATGACTGTGCACGCTTTTGCATGCCCTAAATACGATCTAATAGGCACGCTAACAGACTTCCTTCCTTGTCCCTGTTGTTTTGGTTTATTTGAGAGTAAAACAAAGCGTAATTGGGTGGTGACATCTAGGCTTGTGGAAACATTATAACAAAATTTTCTGTATGGTCGCATTTATTCGTATGTACGTTATTCTGCAGCGATGGTAGATTTTCCTCTATATTTCCTAGAAATTAAAAGAATATAGAGTATAAATTTGATTTTAAAGCACCTAGAAGGCACAACTTAAACAAAACTGAGTACTGACCTCAAATAATCACAGCAATGACACCGGTGCTCTCTCCGAGCGTCCAGGTTTGCAGGACAATTTAGAAAGTTCTACAAGTCAGGTGGTCAGCTTTCTCTCACTCAAAACGCTTGATTAACCAAAATATGCTATTCTTATCGAAAAATATGTTGAACTGAAGACTTATTAGCGAGAAAAAAACGTCTGGAATGGAAGGGACGGAAGAGTAAATGGAACCCCCACAAGAAGCGAGAAGGTACAGGAGAAAAAACTGCTTGGACAACAGTGATCGGACCGTTGGGTCAGTATTTATTATCAAAATATTAGGGTTCGAAAGACTGGGACTAATTATATGTCTAATTACGTTTTATATACGGATGATAGGGCATATGGTTGAACGTCACACTTCCATGATGTCAAATTCTATTTGAAAACGAATTTCGGAACGTATGACACTTAATCATCAGAAACTATATTCACTCACCTACTTCTTTAGTCAAGGAATTTGGAAGTTTTTCTTGTGAATTTTCCGAACTTCCGTTGACGTAAAACAAAACAAAAATAAAAAAAACAGTCATTTTCTAATGATACCCCATTCCTTCCCAAATTTGTAACCTTTTTACTTTATAATGCTTATCCAACTACTGACTAAAATATTTGAAAAAAATAATAAGGAAGCTGAATGTATACTGAGTGCATTAAAGTACAGCTTTTTATAAAGCCCAAAGTCCGTTTTACTTTGTTTATTCTCTTCAAGGTTCATTAGAAATTTCCGAGTTACCAATTTAAAAAGTAACTAAAGTAAACCAACTTCACCTCTTATCCAATCAGAGAGCACGTGTAAAAACCTTTCGTACTCAGTATGTTTGCTTATTTAAGTAAAAAGGTAAATGACCTGTTTTTCTTGACTCTGAGTAAGATAGCCATTCCAAACAACAAGAAACTCAAGTCTCTGGCCTGGAGTACAGAACATGGATACATTGCTTGTGGAGGAGAGGATGGTCTACTAAAGGTCTTGAAGCTCGAAGCTCAGAAGGAAGATAGTACGCTTGGCTTGGCAGCTCCTACCAATCTGGCAATGAACCAAACTTTGGAAGGTCACAATGGTAAATTACTTCTCAAAATGTTAGTTGTACAGGAATGGTGCAAGTTATTACCTGGAATGAACAGTATGAAAAAATAACATCTGCAGATGAGCACGGCCTCATCATTGTTTGGATGCTTTACAAAGGGAACTGGTTCGAAGAGATGATAAACAATAGAAACAAGTCAACAGTTCGTGGATTAAAGGTACGCTATACATGAACTAATTAACCCAAAATAGTGGGATAAAGGTGGTCGACGAATATGCATCGCATACGAAGATGGTGCAGTTATCGTTGGATCTGTAGACGGGAACCGTATTTGGGGAAAAGAATTGAAATGCACGGAGCTGGCAGCGGTCGAATGGGCACCACATGGCCGTTCTATACTCTTTGGCCTGTCATCTGGTGAAATTCACGTCTACGATTCGCTGGGAATATTTCTGGTATATCCATATAGTCTGCTAACTAAATTTGAATCTGTGCCAGGTTGGCTTTTCACGCTCCAATATAAATGAGCAACATGTGTTATCCAGTTAACTTCTTACACGTTTGCATTGGGAACTTTATGAAACCAGTAGACTAAAAACAGGCACAATTTAGATTAACTATGTTTACGATGTTTGAAAGTTACATTGGATACGGTATTACGCTTTGGAAAATTATGATTTTTGTGTTGTCGACGTTCTCGTTGTTAGGAAATTTCTATGTGCAAAATCCAATGAAATTTTGATCTAGTTGATCAAAGCACCAGATATTTCACTGCGGTAACTTATAATCTACAAATCAGTCAAAACTACCATCTTCTCTATGCAATTTTGAATAGAAGAGACGGTAAAACAGTAAAAATACATGGTAACTAAGTAAATCATTCCGAAACAGTTTCAAATTCTTGAAATCTGTTGCATAATGTTTATGGACTAGTTATCCGATAAATCGACATGCTAAAGTTTACGTTCAAAGTTCTTTCAAACAGATTCAACCCGATTGGGTTTATGTCTGAACCTTGTAGTATTTACCGCGGCGGTTTAGAAGATTTCCAAAATCGTCGCTGCGTAGATAACATAAGGCCTTATTTTTACCTGCAGACCGATGTTTAGAATTTATTCTTAGTAATAAAATGTGGTTTTTTGTATTTTTCGAAAATACAAAGATTAATTCGAGGAAGTATAAGTGCACTCATAACTTAGTAGGTTTAAACTTCAATTCCACGTCTAAGAACGGGATGCTTACATCGACACTACCTAGATGTTCGTATGCGTCTTTTAATTGTGTTCGCGTGAGTCGTAGCATAGACACTGTACTCAAGTTCCACTACCTATATCGGAAAAATTAGCGCGTAAGAAATGATTTTTATTACGGTGGACCTCCATCAATCGAAATTCTGAAATGTGTTTTGGATTCGAATAGATTGCTTAAGCAGCATTGTAACATTAATGACAATGTAGCATGATTCCAATATATTTCAGTCACGTCAGGATGCCGAATGTTGAACGAGCTTCCTTCTGTCCGTCTGCAACAAACATTTTATCTAAAAATGGCTACTTAAGTAGTATGCATTTTCCTTATCGATTTTCTATTCAAAGATATTTTCTTTAGATGCTTTTATAAAATATGTTTGTACTCATTTCTTGATAAATTATGCCTTCTTCAAATTGCACACTTGCAGGAGTGGGTTTAAATTTTTTTATGATTGTGAGTTTTTTGGAGACCGTGAAATGTGCGTTAATAATACAGCGTATTCGTAAGTTTATTAATTTTGCCTTTAAGATATGATAGTTCGACCGTGGATTCTGAAACCGTCCACCATATACTCCGCAACAGAATGTTGTAGGAACAGTCATTATGCGCTGGATTATAGTAAGAGTAGACTTGTATGGACCGCGCGGTCAGTCCGGTGTGCATCTTTTTGTGTGGAGTGACTGACTGGCGGACTGAGAGTAAGGTTACAATGACTCCTTAATATGGCTCTTACGGTATTCCCACATTAGTGTTGTTAGTTTGCAAAAAGCTAAGATTTGCGTCGCCCCAGACGCTTTCTTTCAATCCCTCAATGGCGCAAGAAAAGGAAGTATTTGTTGCGTACATAGCACAGGATATTTAAGCAATATTTAAGCGTGACAAGATCGGATCGATCAGATAGTGCCCTCCAGCGAGTAGTGACTTGATTCGCTTTCTGTTTCATCCGGCGCGCATGTTAGAGCCCTTAGCCTAGCCACAGCTCTGCGCTGCATCAACACATGCTTTGTAAGTGGGCTGAATAAAAAGCGTTGCGTGTGGGCTGCATGGCAGTAAGTTTGTTAGGGCGGCTCCCAACAAGGTGTTGTGGTGGCGCACATTGGAGGGGCGGCCTATCCCGCGCCCGATGCCACATATAAGGCCGCTGCGAACTCTTTTCAGAACTATGCAACTTCATCTTCACAACATAGAGAAATGTCCGATTTTCCTTAGACAGGATGTATATAGCATGTGGTCTAAAAGCCTTAAATAACAGTGTAGCTTTCAAATTATTTGACGGCAGGACTGGTTATAGAGGCCCCAAAAATCCCATCGACTTATAATAAAAAACTACTTTTACATATTCAGTAGCCGGACTTTGAAATTTGTCGTTAAATTCTACCAATGGGAGGATGAATTTCCATTTTCGTTATATTCCGCCTACATAGGGTTGAACTTCCCTTAATTGGCATTCACAACCTGCGCAACAGAAGTTAATATTGATCGAATTTTATTCTATTTTGGCACATTAACACATATTACATATTAATTTAAGCTCGGTAGCCAAGAATTAAATGTTTTACTACAAAATACTTTAAGTAGTTGGACAAGGGGATAGATATCTAGGGGGGGGCCTACAAATCAGTTTTGCCTATTCGACAATTTAGAAGGCTGTTAAAGGCGGAAGATACAATTTCCTCAAGTAAAAATCAAATAATGCATAATTTTCTACAAAACGAATAAAAGATACAATATTTTCGTGCATCTTTTCCAAAAAGATATATTTGAGTTTGTAAGAACATAAAAAATAAAGAGACATTGTATACTACTTAAGTAGGCATTTGTAACGGACCATGCTTTACATGGGTGGTCAGGAGGAGGTTCTTTATTAAGCCGGCGACAGAAGTATATTGGGTTTATGCTGCAGGAGAATCAATATCACATTTTTATTGTTACTCCCAATAATATGATTTTGGCTCTGAGGAAATATCAAGAAACATCCTGTCAGTATTTTTTGTACATGTCTGCACGGTTTTGTTAAGATCACTTTTCATTCTGTTCCTTCTAGAATAAACTACCGATCTACTGTCTTTATGATATTCACGGAGCCGTGTCCCTTGCCTGCATAACTTGGTACCGAGGCGAAAAAGGGTACTTTGAACAAGATTGTCCTGTGCTTGCAATTTGCTACGACGTCGGCCGATGTCAAATAATGAAACACGAGAATGACACAAGTGCGGGTTTATTTGTTAGGGTGGTTATGTTTAAAAAATTTTTTCTTGTGCTCTGAGATTGCAAAATTCTTCTATCTCTACGTTCTATAAACGGTAGACGAAGTCTGTAGCTATCCTTTGTGGATTTCAGCCAAATCTTTTTAATCTTTTAGCACCGACGCTCCTTGAGACCGGCATTCATATTAGTTGCGCCGCCTGGAACGAAAACGGTTCAGTGTTGGCGGTCGGTGGCCAACAGAAATTTGCATCAGGACAACAACAGCCTGAGCGTGGTTTAGGAGTTGTGCAATTTTACAATCCTCTCGGTGACGTACGTTTTAAGTCATAACTGCAGATTTTTGGGGGCATTTTGTTATTTTAAAATACGCCGATAACATCTTAAGTCAATTCAGAGCTTTTGCAGCATTCCGTGGCAGGGAAAATTATTTTCAAGTCTTCTCTATCTTCCGTCATTTTGAAGAGCTTTTAACAGTCCCTCAAGGTCTAACAGTTTTCTTAAATTATAATTTGTTGACTTACCTATTTTTAAAAGAGTGG